AAAGAAGAAAGAAAGAGAGAGAAAGAAAGAAAGAGAAAGAAAGAGAAAGAAACGGAAGGAAGGAAGGAAGGGAGAGAGGGAGGGACGGAGAGAGGGAGGGAGGAAGGAAAGGAGGGAGGGAGGAAGGAAAGGGAGGGGGAGGGAGGGAGGAAAAAATGGAGGATTGGGATAAAAAGGAGAAAGGAGAGAATTGAAGAAAGGAAGGGAGGCAAGATGAAAAGAGAACGGAAAGGAAAGCATGCAGAGAGTGAGATGGAGGAAGGGCAGTGATAGGCAGGAAGGACGTGGTAGGGCGAGAGCTGACTGAACAGCCGTGGCATTGTGCAGTCCGCTTGCTTGCTGGGCCTTTGCTGGGGACCGACTCGGGCGCAGCGGCCACTTCTGTCTGGACACAAAGAAGGAAGAGGCCTCCTCTCCTGCCCCTCCTGGGCGACTTGCTCCTGTGGGTACACTAGGCCTCCGGGATATGGGACCCCATCTCAGCCCAGGGAGCTGCCCAGGCATCTGGGGGCTGAGTCACACTCTAGTCAAGGAGCAAAGAACACATGATGACGGTTTCATGCCCTGCTTCTCTTTTGCATCTTCGCCAGGGGACAGGGCCCATCTCCCCCAACCTCAGTTTTCCTAGAAAAAAAAAAATGCCCCTAAACACTCTCTTCTGTGCACCTCTACTATTTGGGAGGGCCCCTTAGAGATTGTGGCTGTAAAGAGATGCCTTTTCTCTTCTACCTCCTTGGGCCACTGCCTTCTTTTCAACTCCTGAGCAGCCTGTCCACTGTCCCTGCCCACTCAGCAGAGGCAGCAGCAGCGGGGCAGCCGGGATCACCCTGCTGCTGTCAAATTCCCTGCGAAACTGAGGGGAGATTGTCACCTGTGCTTCAGAGCAAGAACTCAGACCCACCCCACTCAAGCACAGGCTCAGGCCCCTACCCCCAAAGCCTCATTTTGCCTAGGCCTTGCTGAGAGAGCCAGCTTTGGGGAGGAGGGCTAAAAGAGGCTGGGAGCCCCTGAGTTCACCAGGCCAAGGTCCCTGGGGTTTCAAAACGGCATGTAGCTTGTACACCCATTCAATGCATTTGGAGGTAGGGTGGCAGGTCAGGGCTCTGAAGCAGACCTTTAGGCTCCCCCAAATCCAGGCCTGTAGGTATGAGGGCACCAAGAATGTGGGGGCATCAAGAAGGAGGGGCTTCTCTTTCCAGGTTCAGTTACTGCTGCTGAATCATCTGCCAGATTCCAAGACTCCCTCTCACTCCCACCACTACCTTTAATTTTCTTCAGGACTGATGGGGAAAACCCAAGAGAGTGGAGGCCACTGGGAGTTCTTGTTGTGGAGTGAACCCCAGCTTTAGCTAGCAGCTCTGCATTTACTCTGGTTCTTAGAGCTCCCCTCCAACCGGGAAAGATTTCAGTGGGCACGGGAGAGTCCCCCAAGGGGGAGGAGCACCTTTCCTCCATCACATCAAACCTGGGCAGCTTTGACCACAACCAAGCTAGCACCACTGTGGGAAGGAGAGACAGAAAGACAGACAGGGTAGAGTCATCCCCTGCCCTTGCCCTGTGCCCTGTGTTTTTTAGTGATTTAAATTCCCTCCGGTTCAATCCACACCGTCAAGTTCGGATTAAATTTAAAACAGGCTTGTCCCGGTGCCCATCCCAGTGGGCCATCCCAGACGCCGCAGGCAGGGAGTCCGCTCCGGGGCTCGTCAACACCCGCCCGCGCGGAGGAGGCCGTGCTCCATTTGCTTTCATTTTCCTTCTCCCCCTGAAATGGGCTCATTTCACCTCTCCGCTGCCCTCTCCCCCTCCCCGCCCCCTCCCCGGTTCCCCTCTACATTCCCCTCTTCTCTCTCCTGATCCCTCTTTGTTGGGAAAAACACACCCATACACAACTCCTCCTTGCTAAGGCCTGTGCTGGAAGCAGAAACTGAATTCTCTTGGCCTGCCGCGAGGAGACCCGCGTCCTGCCCCCACCCCAGGTGGGTATCCGGGATCCCTGCACACCAGGAGTCAGGCCCCTAAGCTCAGCAGGAGTGAAACTCCTAGGGCCTGTGAACATGGCCCTCTCAACGCCATGGCCTGCATTCCCGCCGGCCCCCTACCCTGCCGCCCGGCAGCAAATGGGGCTATTTCCGGCTCCCCCAACCAGTCTAGTTTCCCGGCCTGGGGAGTGGCTGGAGGGGGAGGGCTCCAGGGCTAGGGGTGCTCTCTGCCTGGAGCCCCCATGGCCCTGGGCGCCTTTTTTACCTGATCTTTGTGTGATGTGTGTGTCGCAAGAAAATTTGCAGTGACTTTGGAGCCCAGACTGAGGAAGCAGAGGTGGCGAAAGGAGAGACAATACGGGCCCGAAGTACAATTAAGGGGCCAGAGCCGCTATTCTCTCCCCCGCCCTCCCTGCGCGACTGGGAGCTGTCTGGCCTCCAACCTCAGGGCAATCCGCGAACCTGGAGCCGGAACTCAGTCCAAGGCGGAAGGAACCAGAGGATCCGGCTTCCAGAAGGGAGAAAGCAAGCTCCCTTCCAACTTGGGGGCGCAGCAACCAGCCCCGCTAAGTTGCAGGGAAGCCAATGAATGAAAGTGCACATTCCAACGAATTTTCTCCATTTTTTCAGCCTTTGGAAGGAGAGCTTAGGGGTTGGGACGTCTCAGACAGACAGACAGACAGGCAAAACGCACCTCCAGAGGCAGACAGACTCACAACATGAGTGTGAGCCTGAAATCAAATACAGGTTCAACATTTCCCGAGGCCTCTCTGCCAGGCCAGCGGGCGCCGATCTCCCTACCTTCTGTCCCCTCCAGGGCGCTGGGCAGAGACCCGGAAGATTCGGTCCCTCTGGCTTGGTCCAATCCCGCCTCGGGAAGCGCCTTCGTTACCTGCTCCTCGGCTCCCCACGGCCACAGAGAAGCAGGGCAGCCGCCTCTCGCCGGGGGAGGGAAGCCCGGGCCACCGCAGCCGCCGCTGCCCGCCCTCCTTCCCTCCCTCCCTCTGTCTCGCCCTCCCTCCCTCTCTCCCTCCCTCGCTCTCTGCCGCTCGCGGGGCCCTCCCGCGGGCAACCTGTTCTGGACCAAATCCAGGTATCTCCGAAAGAGAGAAAAAAGAAAGGACTTCTTATGTGGGAAAGAAGGAAAGACTCTTAACTGCTTTTATTTTTCATGTTCTGACCCTGGTTCGGCCTTGATTCCCACGTCCTGGCCACAGCCCTGCGGGTGCAGAGGTGTGCGGGGCCTGTTGTCTCGCCCAGGCGGGCCGCCGCGCCCCGCGGACTGCGTGCTGCATGCTCTCTGGGCCGCCGCCCCGGGCAGCCCAAACACCACTCAGACATCAAGGTCCTTCCTACTGACTCTACATCCGGTTGCCCGCCTCGCCGCAGGCCTCCGCTCGGAGCCCGCTCCGCTCCGTCTGCGGCCAAAGTCCACATGCAATCCACCTTGTCCGTGCTCTCGCGCCCGGCCCAGACATCCCTCCCCGCCAAGGCGCCTGCAGGACCACATTCGGGCTGCGGTCTTGCCTCCGGCTACAAACCTCCTCCCCTGCCCGGGACCTACACAAAGCCCAGGCCCTGACGCTCCTACCCGCAGCCCCGCGTCCCCGCTGCCGCCGCTGCCTTTCACCTGTTCCCAAGAAGGGCTGCATCTCCGTGCCAAGGCCAGCCCATGGGCCCGAGCTGAGGGTGCTGGGGAGCCGAGGTCCCAGGGAAGCTACAGAGGTTCGGCCGGGCTGAGCCGAGCCCTCGCAGTCGGCGAGATTATCTCAGAGACCAAGGCTCTCCTTGGCGAGCTCTTGCCTTTTCCTCTTTCTCCCACAAGTCTTAAACATTCACACGCCGAGAGTTCAGCTCTATAAATCCTGCTCCTCTTTCTCATATCATAATTAAAAAAAACCAGTAGGGGAGGTTTTAACTTTTATTGCGATTTCTAGAGTTGGGCTGCGGAGCATATATTAAGTTTACGCTATGCGCTCTCGGCGGGGAGGGTCCTTTAAGAAATAAAAATCCATCTTAATATCCGCAGACGAGAGAGATAATTTTCCCCTCCTCTTCACGCTGTTTCTTCTGAAGACTCCCTTCCAGCGAAGCGAATAAATAATCACCACCGCATTAGCCATGATCCATGGCCCCAGGGCCCTGGGGTGAACGCTGGCCACCAGACTGGCCCTCACCTTGGCCCTATGAGAACTCACCCCATTCCCCAGGATTTGGGGTGGGGGCGGGACACGGAGACCCATGGCTCTGTGGACACCACTTATAAGCCCCCTGTCTTTAAAGTGGAAATGGAGGCAGAGAGATCCAAAGCGCAGAACTCGTTCATTGGAGAATTTCGGCCCATCAGGGACCCTGTTTCCAAACCAGGCACTCCTGAGCACCCTGTCCCTGCTTGAGACTCCCTTCACTCTGACTAGGCCCCTACTTCTGACAGCCGGAAAACTCGGAGACAGCTAGGGGCTCCAAAACCAGAGATGCCCCTGTCTGCCTTGCACCAGCTGGCCCTCCTCTCTGAAAACCTCTCCATTTTCTGGGGAGCCACAGAGAGATTTGAGCACTTCAACCAAGGGAAGAGATTTTTTTT